TACAGCCTGAAATGTTCAAATAGTGCCACCTGACTGGGAAACCTGGCCGGTATTTTTTTGTCACTCTCTTGTCATTGGCCCCTCCTACTCTAGGTGGGCTCACATCTCTGGGATGGGCCATCCCAGCCACCCCAAATGGCCCACAGAGTAAGCACATCTGTATCTGGCTGCCTTGTGGCTAGCAGAGGGAAGGTAGGAAAAATGACTTGCCCTTTCCTAAGGGGATTTTCTTGGTGATTCTCAAACCCTACAGAGAAGCACAATTGCAACAGGGTGATTCTGACATTTCCCTGCTTTCCACCCTCCTTCTTACTCCCATCTGCCAAGATTCTTGCCTATTCCTCTGGGCAGGTGAAAAAAGCACCTGCAGAAATGACTATGGCTTCTTGGATTGCTATAATAACCAGAAAGAGCAACATTAGAGCTCTGTCGAGGATAAGAGGAGAAACAGAAGGGAGACAACTGGCACTCTCTGCCCATTAAGCCAGTATTACAAATAAGACCGAACAGTCACTAGCCTTTCTTATAGAGTCCATTTTTCCCCCCAGAGTGACAAATGAAATCAGAAGGGGGAAGGAAGGGCTTTTAGGGAATCAGAAGATAAGCTGAAATAATGTTTCCTCGATTTAATTCTTCCTCCCAATGAAAGCCAAGTGGTAATGGTGGCCTGGATCCAAAGTACAGGTGCCTGGGTATACCATGAAAAGAGTAGAACCAACTTCTGGGCGATGCTTGATGGGTATTCTCTGGATAGCCCTGTAGCATGGTGGTGGAGAGCAAGAGGCTTTGAAGGAAGGGATATCCTGGCTCCTTCGCTAACTCCATTTGTGCCCTTAATCTCACCTCCTCCCACCTGCTTAAGAACATGGCTCCAGAAATTCTCACCTCCCTCTTGCATCAATAATTTCTTCCTATTTACATGTTGTAGTATCTACCATTTCAAAAATAAAGTCCTCCATTGACCCCATGTCCCCGCCCCCCCCAGCTTCTGTCCCATTTCTCATCTCCCTGTTACAGCAAAATTTCTCGGAAGAGCTGTCTATATTCACTGTTTCTAGTTTTCAACCTCCATGTTGTCAGATCAAATGGTCCATTCTCAATCTTCATCCGGCTTGACATTTCATCAGCATCCCAAACAGAAACACTCCTCCTTGAAACACTTTCTCCCCATGGCTTCCAGAACAGTCACCAGCTGCCCCCCTGGCTGCTCCTACTCCATGCCCTTTCTTGGTTTCTCCTCTCATTTCCAACCCCTACCATTGCATTGCCCCAGAATTCAGACCTTGGACTATTTATTTTCTCGATACTCTCCACTAGATGGTCACATCCAGTTCTGTGGCTTTAACTACCCTGGATACACAGATTTCCAAATTTGTATCTGAGGTTCTAACTTCTCTCAACTCCACATGCATCTCTTCAACTCTATACTCAACATTCCCTCTTGGAGATCTAATAGTCAAGTTTAATGTGATACGTTGAAATTTCCTGATTCCCCTTCCACAAACTTGGTTCTCCTTCAATCCTTCCCATCTCTGTTGATGGCAGCTCCAACCTTCCAATTGTTGAAGTCAAAAAACCTTGGAGTCATCCTTGACTCCATTTCCTCCCACACCCCATCTCCAAGACATCTGCAAAATGTATCAGAATTTTCTTTAAAATAATTTCAGAATCTAACCGGGTCTCCCCACCTCTGACTGGGTCTCCCCACCTCAATCACTACCACCCTGATCCTGGTCACCATCATCTCCTACTTGACTACTGCAATAGCTTCCCAGCTAGGCTCCTTGCTTCTGTCCTTAATCTCTCTCATTTTTTTAAAGATTTTATTCATTCATTTTAGGGGGGAGGGTAAGAGGGAGAGGGAGAAAGAATCTGAAGCATACTCTGCACTGAGCACAGAGCCCAGTGCACGGCTCTATCCCACGACCACAAGATCATGACCTGAGCCAAAACCAAGAGTCAGACACTTAACCAACTGAGCCACCTAGGTGGCCCTTTGCCCTTCATCTCTTAAAGTCTATTCTCACTCAACCCAGTAGCTGGAGCAACTTACTTAAAATTTAATTTTGATCATGTCAATCCTCACTGAATATTCTCCCATGGCTCCCCATTTCACTCAGAGTAAAAGCCAAAGTCCATATAATGACCACGAAGCCCTACATGATTTTGGCCCCCCTCTCATTCTTGCTGTTTTACCATTCTGCTCCAGTCACACTAGTCTTGATGTTCCCTAAACATACCACACATGTTCCCACTTTTGGACCATTGCACTGGCTGTACCTCTGCCTGGAAAACTCTCTCCCTAGATATCCACATAGATCATCCCTTTGCTTTCTGCAGGTCTCTGCTCAAATGCTATCTCCACAAAGAGTCCTTACTCAGTTTATTGTTTCCCTTGAGAAATATCCTCATCTGCTATATTATAATTTTAGTTGATTAATGTCTGTCTCTTCCCAATGTAAACTTCTTGGGAGCAGGGACTTCATTTTATTCATTGCTCTACTCACCAGCACTTAGAATAGTGCCTGGCACATAATATCCAATTAATTCTTGCTACATGAATGAATAAATGGATAGATGGATTAAATAAGACTCTTCCAAACAGACAGTATCACATAGAACAAGACCTCAGCCACTCTGCACCTACTTTTTAGCTTAATCCTCATACCTGGAAGTAGAGATGAAGCTTTATTTTGCAGATGAAGAAAATGATGAAGCTCAGAGAATCTAAGCAACTTTTCCAAGGCCATCTAGTTGGTAAAATTCCTCCCTTCATCCTTTCATTTGCTCATTTCTTCAACAAATATTTATTGAGCCCTTACCATCTGCCAAGCACGTTCTAGGCACTGGAAATAGAGCAGTGAACAAGACATGTGAATTTCCTGCCCCTTGTGGAGTTTAAACTTCAGTGGATTAAGTGATCCTATGAGCAGAAGATGCTTAAATGCTGTTTCATTGACTTGATCCATTGATAGTGGGTAGCCTGCTCCCCTTAGATCAGATCTTTTTACAAGGCAGATTCCCATCCACTAGGTTAGGGGGCGGGGCCCAATTTTCTGCATTTCTAAAAAAGCTCCCAGGTACTACTCATACTGCTGCTCCACAGACCACACGTTGAACAATGTCCTAGTATAAACTGCACTGCCAAGGAAATCGGAACATCTATTTGGCCCCTGTCCTTTCATATAACACATCCTAGACGGAAGGACCTAATTCAGCAGGTGGAGTAAGTTTCAGGGGATGAGGACTTGGAATTTCCTGGCAGGTGTGTTAAACAGCGCCCTGGGAACTCTAGAAGCAGCTTGTGTTCAGAGATAACAGGCACATTATGGAAGTCACAAGTTTGCAAGGCCACAACCATTGGAGAATTCTGATTCCTGGGGCAGGGAAAGGAAACAACGGGCAAGAACAGAACAGATACCCAGTTTGTGTCATAGCAGGACTTGCCTTGAACCTGAGCATTGAATTAGAGGCTCTTAAATTGCTGGAGGGCAGGGTTGATTCCAAAGATGGGGCAGAACTCACTGGGCCTGTAGATTGGGGGTTATCTGGCTCCAAGGGGGCACTATAGAGACAGGAGGGCTTTGGGAACAGGGAACCCAGCAGATTCCACACTGCTCCTGTCATAAATTCTTGGAACTCATGAGGCAGCAAGAAGTGTGTTGGACTTTGTTTTGAATGACATGGTCCAAAAAGAGGAAATTTAATATTGACTATTGGCCAGAGATAATAAACACACGCACACACTGATTTCTCTCTTATCTGTCAGGCTAGAAAGCACTTGGGTATGAAGAATATTAAACTAATATTGGAAAGGAAGAGATAGCAGAGATCTGTGTTGAGAGGGAACTGATGGAAGAGATTGACAAAGGGAATCTGGTATTTATAAAACTATGCCCTTGATGAGATAAGAGGAAATGCGGGAGGAACCTGAGGGAGCCAGAACCTAAGGCCATGAATGTCACACCAGTCTACACTCCAAGTGACCTTCCCAAAGAAGGGTGACTAAAGCCCCAGGGTCCTGGAAAGTCACGGAGTAGTCACTGAGCCAAGAGAGGTCTGACATCTCCCCTTCAAAATGAACCAGAAAAAGGCAGCGTAGCCCCCACCGAGCAGAGGCATGGTTCCATATTCCAGCTCTGCCTCTTAACTTCTCTGGGCCTCAGTTTTCTCATCTGTAGATAGGGATGATAATATAAATCATCCACAGCACGGAACTACGGTGAGAGAAATCACTCCAGGCACGTAAGTGCTTAGAGCAGTGTCTAGCACACTGTTAGCACTCCATCAGTGTGGGTCTCCGTCGTTACTGTTGTTCCAACGAGGAAGAGCCAGAAGAGACATGCAAGTTCAGAAACCCCCTCATTTGCTAGAAAAGGAGCATGAGGTCCAGAGAGAAGTAGGGAATTGTTCCGGGTCACCAACAAGCTCATACACAGCAAGGCTAAGACCAGAAAGTATTTTTTAAAGATTTTATTTATTTGAGAGAGAGAAAGCATGAGTAGGGAGATGGGCAGAGGCAGAGGGACAAGCAGACTTCCCACTGAGCAGGGAGCCCGGTGGGGCCTCAATCCCAGGACCCTGAGATCATGACCTGAGCTGAAGGCAGATGTTTAACTGGCTGAGCCACCCAGATGTCCCCCAAATATGAAAGTGTTAATAAAGCCTCGCCTTGGCAGCAAAATTTGACGTAATGCAATCCCCAAATTAAAAATTGTCGAGGAAGACATAATCTCAAGGGGATGGGTAGAGGGAATTTAAACTGTACTTAACCATCGTCAAATGACTGTTACTCTACCTGGTGAACAGAGATCACTTCTAGACTTTCACAGAACTATTCTTAAATTATTAGAGATTTAAATGTTGCAAAACCCTCATAAAGACTCTGGAATAAAATGCAACCACCTTCTGCAATCTGAAAATCTTTCTTTTCTTTTTTTTTAATTTAAAAAAAATTATTTATTTATTTATTTATTTATTTATCAGAGAGAGAGAGAGAGAGCACAAGCAGGGGTGGGTGGCAGGCAGAGGGAGAAGCAGACTCCCCCCTGAGCAAGGAGCCCGACTCGGGACTTGATCCCAGGGATCATGACCTGAACTGAAGGTGGACGCTTAACTGACTGAGCCACGAAGGTGTCCCTGAAAATCTTTCCAAAAGGGAACACGGTTGTTGTCTTTTTAAAAAATATTTTAAGGGGCACCTGGGTGGCTCAGTCAGTTAAGCGTCTGACTCTTAGCTTCAGCTCAGGTCATGATCTCAGGGTCCACGTTGGGCTCTGCGCTCAGCAGGGAGTCTGCTCGAAGATTCTCTCTCCCTCGCCTTCTGCCCCTGCCTCCCACACTCTCTCTCTCTCAAAAAAAATTTAAAAATTAAAAATTAAAAATATTTTAAGTTGTCTGACATACATATTAAAGCAAATCCAAAGTCCCAATCATGAGTGAACAGCTCAATGAAGTTTTATGTATGTGTAATCCCTACCTGGATTAAGATTTGGAACATTTTCGTAATTCCTCATGCCCCTTTCTGGTCTATAAGCCTGCCTCAGACATAACATTATTCTGACTGGTGTTGCCATTACTCACTATGGCCTCTTCTCCACATCCATTTAAATGGAATCAAGAAGTTATATTCTTTTGTATCTGACTTCTTTTGCTCAATGTAATATTTATGAGATTCCTGCACATTGTTATATGTGGAGTGATAAGGGAAACTGTAGGCAGAAATGGTAATAGCAGAGTTGGGAGTTCAGTTTCCATACAGGAAGATTAAGGATGAAGGGAGTCAGGTGTCTCACTGTTTGAGAAGGGAGTTGCAAATAAGGAAAAGGGTAAACGGAAAGGAGCCTTGAAATACTGGGTTGGACTTGGAGGTATTGATATGAACTTGTGGTGTATGAGTTTCTTGCTGTAGCAAATTACCACAAAGTTAGTGCCTTAAACGATTTATTCTCTTATAGTTCCAGAGGTCAAAATTCTAAAATCAAGGTATCAGCAGGACTGCATTCCTTCTGGAAGCTTCTAGAAAATTGTTTGCTTGCTTTTTCCAGAAGCCACCTGCATTCCTTCATTCATGGCGTCTTTCCTCCGTCTTCAAAGTGCATCATTCCAACCTCTGTTTCCGTTATCACATCTCTTTTTTCTGTAGTCAAGTCTCCTTCTGCCTCCCTCCTGTAAGGACACTTATGGTTACATCAGGCCTACCCAAGTATTCCTGGAGATACCCTCATTCCAAGATCCTTAACTTAATTGCATCTGCAGATTTCCTTTTACAATGTAAAGGAACATGTCCACAGGATCTGGGGTCAATATTCAGCCTACCACAGGTGGTATCGATATATATTTGGCTAAGTATAGAAATAAATATATAGGGGCACTCTGTTGGTTAGGTGTCTGGCTCTTGGTTTGGGCTCAGGTCGTGATCTCAGGGTCATGAGATCGAGCCCCACATCGGGCTCCATGTTCAGTGTGGTATCTGCTAAAGACACTCTCTCCCTCTCCCTCTGTCCCTTCCTCTCTCTCTCTCTCAAATAAATAAATGAATATCTACCAAATAAAAAGAGAGAGAAAGAAACAGCTGATTCCAAAGCTGTGGCAAGAAAAGTACAAGATGAGCTTGGAAAATCTTATTGTACTTTTAAAAAAGCAAGGAAGTATTCAAAAAAATAACAGAGACATGTCAAAAGAAATATAAGCCAGGAAGCTCCTATTGGCCAAAGTGCGACATTCAGCGCATTCAAATAAACAATGAAAATATCTGATTGTAGCACATTGAATTAAATAGGAAACTATGAGTGCATACTGATATAAGGAAATAAGCGAGGAAATGAAAAAAAATACACAGAGTGGGATTAATTAGACATTACAGAAGAAAAAAATAGTGAACTATTTATTGCATAATAAATCACCTCAAAATGTAGCTGCTTGAAACTGCACATTATGTATTATCTCAGTTTCTATGGATCTGAAATCTAGGTGCAATCTACCTGATTCATTCAGCTCAGGGTCTCCCACAGGACTTCAATTTGTGGGCTTGGGCCTTGGTCATTTCAAGGTTCAAGTGGGGCAGGATTCACTTCCAAGTTCATTCACTGGTTATTGTCAGAATTGAGTTCCTCACAGGCCATTGGACTGAAGACCTCAGTTCCTCACTGGCTGTTGGCCAGAAGCCACCCTCAGTTTCTTGCCACATAAGTTTCTCCATATGGAAGCTCAGGCTGTCAGCAGATTTCATCAGAACAAGCCAGTGAGAGAGACAAAGAGTACACACAAGATGGATGTTATGTAATCATTTATAAACTAATATTAAAAATGGCATCCCTTTACTTTTTCTAAATTCCATTTGTTAGAGGCAAGTCACTAGGTCCATCCCCATCTCAAAGGGAAAAAATTACACAAGGATATGAATACCAGGAGGTGAGGATCAGTAACAGAAGCTACCTAGCACAGTCTGCCCTTTATCCCCCAATGATTCATGTCCTTTTCATAGGCCAAGTATATTCACCCACTACTCAGATTCCTTAAAAACTCATCTCATTGTACCATCAGCTCAAAGCCCAGAATCTTTTCATCTAAATGAGATCCAGGGGGACACCCGGATGACTCAGTTAAGTGTCTGCCTTTGGCTCAGGTCATGGTTCCCGGGTCCTAGGATCGAGTCCCACATCAGGCTCCTTGCTCAGCGGGGAGTTTGCTTCTCCCTCTGCCTGCCGCTCCCCCGTTCATGCTCGCGCTCTCTCTCTCTGGCAAATAAATAAATAAATAAATAAATAAATAAATAAATAAATAAATAAATAAAACATTTTTAAAAAATAAATAAATGAGATCCAGGGTGCTTGATGCTCCTCAAATGTACTTCCTTATATACAACTACCAGTGTTTCTTGATTCGAAGATCTGTAAAACAAAAGAGACAAGTTATCTGTTCCCTAACTCCCACACAAACACCCAACAGACAATGATGGATCAGGCATGGAATAACTGCTACGGGTGCCTCTCTTCAAAATGGAAGGAAGTCCATAGCAATTCTGAAATCTACCAGGAAAATGTTAGCACATAATTAAGTTTGGAGGCCTAGGAATAATTCTGCATGGCAATTAGCTGCACCCTCTGGGCTCTTGGATCCACCCTCTGAGTTGTCCTTCTTTTTTTCATGAAAGGTGGCACATGTTTGCAAATGGGTAGTCTTGTCAGTCTCCTTATTGCCAGTAGAATCCTGGGCTGTCTCCTTATTTAGTACCATCTCTCTCTCTCTTTCAGTCAAAGCCAACAGTGTTTCTGCTGACAGAGTTTTCTCGAAAAGTTTGTGGGGCTTCTGTGAATCTCTTCAGGATTTAACTTCATTAGATAAAAACATAATTAAAAATCTCTAAAATTATCCCTTCTTTACCTTGGGACCCTGCCGAGCCAGCTGAGGGACAATGTCCTCAAGTTTCCTAGAGCCCTACTGTTCAATTAGAGAATCTGTGAAACATATACTTAATTGCTTTAGTGAGCCCTTGGTGTTAGGGAAGAATACTCTGATCCCTTTGATCTTTCCAAGGTCCTAACAAAAGTTTGCATAGTCACACATTTAGACCACTTTTCCTGAGAGTGCCAGGAATCATTTCTTCTCTTTCCTCCTCCTCTTCCTCTTCCTCCTCTTCCTCCTCCCCCTTCTTCTTCTTCTTCTTTTCTTCTTCTTCTTCTTCTTCTTCTTCTTCTTCACTAACCTTCTCAGCACGTAGTGTATGCCTTTAATCAGAGTACTCCTGCTATTATATTTCTGGAAAATCTTAATATTTCCTCCTAAAAGGGGGTTTCTCCATCCCTTCCTTTATTTCCTCCTCTGGAAACTCATTAAGACATATCTTAGAGCTGGTCAACTCAACTCTCGTGTCTTTTGATGACTCATGATTTTATTTCTCCTTTTTTTAAATACCACATTCCAGGTGATAGTCTCTATTTTAGTTCTCAATTCCCTATTTGACAGTGAATATCTTAGATATTATAGTGTCTATTGAGTTATTTAAATGACTACATATATTTTTTATTTGCTATGATTTAGCATTTCTATTTATTAACCCAGATCTGTTGAATAGAATTAAGTATTTTCTTATTTGTACAGATATGTACTTTATCTCTTTAAGAACTCTGAATTTACTTATTTTATAGCATCTGTACTACACTTGAATTTCTTCTAGAGAAAATACATTTTTATTGTTTATTTGTTGGTTGTCTTTCTTTAATTCTTGGATTTTAGAATGTTAGTTGTAGGTTCCCCTTGAATGCTTATGTGTGCATGCGTGTGGGTGTGCGTGTGCATGCATGTGTGTGTGTGTGTGTGTGTGTGTGTGTGTGTGTGTGTGTTTCCTCCCTCTCTTTCTCAGCTCCCTTCTTTCTTGCCTGGTAGATTTGCAGTTGACTTCTTTTTTTGTAAGATTTTGTTTATTTATTTGACAGAGAGAAATAACGGAAGAGGGAACACAAGCAAGGGGAGTGGGAAAAGGAGAAATAAGCTCCTGCTGAGCAGGGAGCCTGATGCGGGGTTAAATCCCAGGACTCTGGGGTCATGACCGGAGCCCAAAGGCAGAAGCTTAATGACTGAGCCACCCAGGCGCTCTGCAGTTGACTTCTGACCCCCTGCAATTCTCATTCAAACCAGATTATACTATTTACCTGGGAATCCTTTCCTGTGGCAAATCAATGATCAATTTGTTCAGGTCTTAATTATGGATTGGTTCACCTGCCTCTCTAAAGTGATCTGGTTCATATAATCAGTCAGGGAACAGAGAATGATCAGCTGAGTCCTTTAAGCCATTTTCCTGGATGGTGGTGTGTCAACTCAGATTTTGTTTTAAGGCAATAAGCCCAGACATTTTTATCCCCCATCTATGTAGATATTATGTTGGCCCCTCTTTATCCACTGTTGTCCTATCTATTCTGATCCTTTTGGGGGGTAATTCAGTATAAAATAGAACAAAACTTGTATTTATGCTAGGTTGGTCTTGGCGTCTCGGTATCTCTACTTCTCCCTT